ATGGACTTACTCCTATGGATTGGCTCTCAGCCCAACAGTAAAAGACCTATATGCAGAACACCTACCCCAGGGCGATGCACCCACCTACTCTAAGGAGATGCACCCCTTAGATCGATCAATCAGGCATGAGACACTAGAGGGGCAGCATTCACATAGAGGGAAAGCTGGACAGACAGGAAAGCACAGATTAGAAGGGCACAGGGAGGAGGTAGTCACAGGGAGAGGAGGAAAGGAGAGTTTTTTATGGTTGGGGATGGTAATCGGGGCATGAAATCAAATGTACACAAACTGTTGAATGTAAAATACATTTGCTTGTAAATTTGCACCCAAAGCACAATTTAAAAAAAAAAATGCCTATGGGTAAAATCACCCTCTGTTAGGAACTACAGAGGCAATGAGAGACTGAAGGAGCAGTCATAACCGAAGAATCAGAAGAGAAGCGGGTCACGGACAGTGAGAAGAGAATTTCAAGGAAAGCATGTTCAGCATTGCCCAGGGGGCTGCACAGGATCCCCCATAACATGTGTCTGCTGACCCAGGGGTGACGGAGGCAGAAGCCAAACTGCAAGGGGCTGAGGAGTGAGTGGGAAGTGAGGAAGTAGAGTCTGTGGACAGAGGCTCTCCTTCAAGGATTCTTGGCTGTGAAGGAAAGGATGAGGTGGGAAGCACAGGTGAGAAAGGTTATTTTGAATATGGGAGAAACGTGAACCGTGGGGAAGGAGATAGCTGAAGAAAGCTCAAAAACACAATATGTAAAAGAATGAGGTAAATCCTGCACAGTGACATGTTCAGTAGTTGTTAAAAAGAAAAAATTATCTGACAGGATCTCTTTATTTTTTTTGTCAAACAAAACCCCAACAAGTTCTATATGTGTATATACTATGTATAATTATAGTTTTATATTCCTTGGAAGGAAGATTGGGCAGTCTACTTCTGTAGTGATACAGCCTCGGAACCCAAGAAGGGGTCGCTATGAGTCGGATCCAAATCAATGATAGTTTTTTTTTTTTTTTAAAGTATAGAAAAATATCTGAAAAGACATTTACCAAACAAGATTTTACCATGGGAGAGTGGGATCAGGGTCAGGGATGGGAGGCAGTGGAGTGGGAGGTAAAGGGGGAGGTTGGATATACTAGGGGGCAAAAGGGTGGAAGCTTTTTGCGGTGTATTAAATTTCTTAGTGTGACTTTTCTAGCCATAAGTCTTTGTAAACTCTGTGGTGGAATTTGCTGTGAGCAATTCAGGAGCTCCTGATTGTAAAAGTTATCCACCTGGGGTATTTCTGTTGGGCGCAACACAAAGCAACGTTCTGGAAGATGTGCTGCTGAAAGAGACACACGCTCCTGAAAGAGACATGCGCTGTTGGGAAAAAGACTCAAGAGACACACACTGCTGGGAGAGAGACTTGGCTGAGACGGCGGGCTGGGAGAGAGACTGAACGTTGTTCCTGAACTTGAATTGTAGCCTGATGCTTCCCTAATAAACCATGTAATCTGTGAGTTCTGTGTGGCCACTGCAGTGAATTATTGAACCCAGCAGAAAGGTGGTAAGGGCTGGAGGAGGAATGGTTGGTGTCAGGGTTGGTGAAAGGGCTGGAGGGAGGCAGCATGTCTGGCTTCACAGTAATGGGCCTTGGGCTACTGATAGTGCTTCTGTCTTCCTCTTGTGGGATTAGAGGAGGTCGGAAGATGTGGCCTCCTTGCCCTTTTTGCACTTTTGCATCTTTATATAATTCCATGTTATGTAAAGTGAAATAATTAAATGTTCACAAAAATAAAATAAGCGAAAAAAAAAAAGGGATTGTTTGCTTGGATAAGTTTGCAAAGGCCACCTCTTCCTCTGAGACAGGAAGTGAGAAGGAAGCAGACAGTGATTTGTGACAGGGATGGGGCACTGAGGGGGCTCTTGCCTGTGTTTCCATAATGTAGACAGACAAAGCACCTGAGACAGGAGGGAAGGTCAGGGTGGAGTGGAGGCTTCTGAGCAATGGCACTTTTTGGGACCCCATATATGGTAACATAGTGCCTAAGGCACTTGACTGCTAACCAGAAGGCTGGCGATTCAAACCCACCAGCCACTCCTCGGAAGGAAGGTTGGGCAATGTTCTGTAGTGATACTGCCTCAGAAACCGAAGGTGGGGTTACTATGAAACCGGTCTGACTCGACGGCACATGACAACAACAACATGGGGGTAGGGGTGGGGAATAGAGGGAGGGAAAAGAAATTAAGCTGCATGGAATAAGATAGGACTCAGTCAAAAGAAAACAAAAAGGGAAGGCAGTGGAAGCCTGGGAAGAAAAAGAATGGGATGTAGTTCCAGAACTGGCACAAGACACACATCTCTCGGGTGCTACAACCTGACACCCACTCATTATAGCAGGAACAACATATACAAAAGGGAAAAGACAGGAGCAGAGGCGGATCCATGGAAAATAGCATCTATGGCAAGTGCTGCAATTGCACCCCTGTCCAAACACCTGACACTTATCTTTTAGATAACTTAATCATAATATCAGGTCAAAAATACAAGTCAAGCTTATTAATCTTTTACTTAACACATGGTACCACATGAAAAACTGCACCTTCCTTGTTTTCATTGATGAAAATTGGTCTATGATGTACTCAGAGTAATTTTTTGTTTCTTCTCTGTACACTCAGTAGAGCAAGATCAGTCTGCCTTGACCCATGGAAGTATTAGTTTTAACTTGCTGAATGATCTCTCACAGCTGGTGATGATGGAAAATGCTATGGTTAATAGAAACTCCTTAGTGGTGCCCCCTTCAAGTAGTGCCCAGGGCATGGCCATACCTGCTATACCCTAGCCTCTGGGCAGGAGGGAAAGGCAGAGATTTGTGTCTTCTCTGGTGGTGCAGTGATTAAAGTATTTGGCTGTTAACCAAAAAGTTGGCAGTTGGAACCCAACCAGCCACTCTGTATGAGAAAGACAAGGCAGTCTAATTCTGTAAAGATTTACATCCTTGGGAACCCTATAGGGCAGTTCTACTATGTCCTATAGGGTCACTGTAGTTGGAATCAATTGGATCACAGTGGGTTTAATTTTGGGGGTTCCCTTTCTAGATATGTAGCATATATTTTCATTTGCTGCTCTGCTAATGGGGAAGCTGAACATTAGTTATGCATTGTTTTCATAAGAGTGTAGCCCAGTCTTTATTTGCAAATGCCAAAGAGTTTAAACAAAGTTCAACTTACTTAAGGTCTTTTATTTTACAGTATGGGTTACGCAGTGCTTGGCAGAGGAAATGTAGCCGAGACACTGGCAAATTGCGCATCTGGAAGGACCTAAAAGAGATGAGAGGCAAAAGAAATTTAAAACACTTTTTTTCCAGAGCAAAAGGTTTATTTTGTCTTCTATTACCATGCTAGCATATATTTCCTCTTCCAAAAACCTTGGGAGGTATTACCCTATT